AGGCTCTGGGCGAGATGAGGGGCCTCTTGGGGTTCAGGGATGAAAAGGGCACAAGGTGCTTCTTCTCAGGTCTAGGGGTTCTTGGAGTTTGAGGTCGCTCGTGGTACTTTAGAGCTTCGGTGTGCAGCCAAAAAAGCTGGTTTTGCTAAGGGTCAGCGTTGTGGGTTGAGATGAAACAGGCTGCAGCAGCCTTGCAGTACATCTACAGGCGGGAAGCCACCCAAACCCGGAACCCAAAACCCTAAAGCCTGCCCGAAACCCCGAGCACCAAACTCACATCCCTTGCCAATTAAATCCCCTTGGTCTGTGGAATGTTTGGGGCCTTTTCTCGGAAGCGGCAGACAACATCCAGAAACCCAAAAGATTCCCAAAAGCTCGCGGAATTGAGCCAGCCGACCGCTGCCTGGTTCGAGTATCTGCAAACCTTCTTTCTTGCCGGAAAGAGTTGCGATACGAAAACATATGAAAACGTCGGTCATCGGCCTGCTAGAGGCCGAACAACTGTACTCCAGATGAAAGTTGTCCAGCAATGGACTCCTGTACAAGCAACAACCGCAATAATAAAGGCCACCTGGCCTACCTACGTAGGCACGCGGTGCGCCACTATTCTGGAAGGGCTGTACAAACGCTGCCGGATCTTGCGCCCGCAAGAAGCCAGAGGATCGATCACACACACCACCACCAAGGGGGGAATTCTGCAATCCATATAAGCAACATGGCCAATTGCGTACTAAATACACTTTCAAAGAGATACCGAAAAGTTCACAGAGGCAATCCAAGGCAGCGCCGTCCCTTCCGCGCTGAGTAAGTGAGACGAGAGACACACACAGAGGAGTACTTGTAGCGGCTTCTCAGTGCAGCTCGTAGGTGATCTCATACTTGGGCAAGCACTGGTGGGGATGGTATGCGATGTACTCCGAGTTGTACACAGACCATCCCGGGCGGCTATTGCAGCCGAGGCCCTGTACGAAGAGCAGGTCGCACTTGTCCGGCGGATGCTCGGAGGAGAGGTCGGAGGCGGAGGCCGCTCCTCCCCTTCCGGGCCTGCGCAGTGCGGCGCAGCAGGGCTCCACCATGTCGTCCAGCTCCTCGGGCACCAAAGCCTTCACGTTCGCGACGTCGTGCATGCCGTCCTTGGTCCGCAAGTGGCCCTCGACCTTGAAGGCGCGGCCCAAAACGGAGCACACGATCATCTTGTACTGCTTCCGGCCGCCTCGCCCATCCCCTGGCTGCGACACGTAGCGGTGCGACTTCTGCGCCATGTCGGCCAGATAGATGCCAAGGCCGAACATGTGGCAGCGGTCCCACTCGTGCTTCTCAGTGCAGAACTTGCAGGAGTTGGTGCAGAGGGTGGTGCTCAAGCCTTTGCCTCCTGACACAGGGCAGAGTTCTGACGCGTTGCAGTCAGAGGGAGGTTGCAGGCCATGCTGGAAAAGGACGTCGTGGATGTTGTTGTTGGTGCCGTGGAAGAGCTCGCGCGCCGTGGGCTCCTCACGGTGCCGAGTCTTCAGGTAACGCCGGTACTCCTCATGGAGCCTGGAGAGAAGGGGGTTCTTCACCTGGCGGATGCCCACAATCACAGGCTCTCCGTTATGGAAAGGGGCCGAGGCCATGAACCTGCTCTGGATTTCGTTGCCCTTGGCGCTGCAAAGGTCCACATACTCCAGTGAGAACCTCGCGCTGTCCGTCTCCCGACCGGGATGTCTGCACCAGCAGGGGTTGGTGAAGCGCAGGTTCTGACCTCGGCAGTACTTGGCGATGTACTTTGGGCAGTCCTGCTCTGGAGAGCCATGGCCATCTTCCACACAAATGGTGCGCTGCTGTCCATCTTCGATGAAAGGAAGACGGTTGAGTCGGTGCACGAGCTCTCGCGGCATCTCCTTCTTGAGAACGGCATGTGCCTTCTTGAACTTCCCTCGAACGATCTGCACTTTGACGCCCTCTGTGTAGGCTGGAGCATGGCTTTGCAGGAAGGCCAGGGTGTCTTTGTAAAGCTGGTCGTCCGAGATGTGCGCATGCAGAAACCCCATCCACAGGAATGTGGCATAATCTCTGCTCATGGTGCAAGGCCGGTTTGCAGGGACGGGAAGAATGTCCTCCGCCTTCTTGGTGCTCCAGTGACCTTTCGCCAGAACCCGCTCCAGCTCGGCGTCCTCGCTGCCATTATTGGCGAACTTCACAAGGAAGCGTGGCAGGACCTGAGCCGGTTGCGAGATGACGTAGTACTGGCTGTCCTCTACCCAGATGTGGTCCCCATCTGAGTTGCTACTGTGCAGAGACTGCTCACCCAGCAGAAGCTGACAAACCAGCATGTAGTGGCCACCTCTGCAGTAACTCACCGACACCGCCGGGTTCTTTGCAAAGTACTCGCCACTGCCAAAGACCTGCCCGACAGCCGAGCCGCGAAGATCCGACCGGAAGCCACCTTGGATGATGGAGAGGTAGTTCTGCGGGGCCGAGCCATGGAAGCCATCCAGCTCATCGGGGTCCCTCCGCAGCAGTCGCTTCAGCTCCTTGCGGCGCTCGGCGAAGCGCCAGCTCAGCAGTGGGTTGTCGATGGACCACGCGGCCACCACACCTCGGTCTTGGCTGTAGCCATGGCAGTAGTGGTGATAGTGGTCTTGGCTGCGCTCCTCCCAAAGAGTCTGCAACCAAGCAAGGTCCGTCGCACTCGCACGAGCAATGGTCACCCCTGAAGGAGGCGGACCCAGCTCCCTCGCTTGCGACGCCCGCTGCTGGCGCCTCTTTGCTGCTGCTGCGTCTTCCGCCTTCCTCTCCTCCAGTCGCTGAGCCGCGCACTCCGTGCAGAATGGCCGGCCTTGTTCACATGCGTGGCAAGGCTTGCTGGACTGGCCATTCGTGCAAGCGTTGCAGCTGCCGAGGACCTTCTTGCCCTTGCCTGCGCAGACCGGGCAGCTGGTGGCGCGGCCCAGCAGGCCCCGTCCGTCGCACCTGCGGCAGGGCTGGGCGTAGACACCGCTGCCGGAACACTTGGCACAAGGCGACAGGCCGCTGCCTGAACATGTCTGGCAAAGCTTGCCAGGAAGAGGCCTCTCATGGCACCCTGAGCATGCGATGATAGCCAAAGCTTTGACAAAGTCAAGCTTGGCAGAGTAGAGGTCGTCGCCCTCCGCCGCCTCTTCCAGAGCCTTCCGCAAGTTTTGGAAGGTCTCCCACTCTGTGAGCGGCACGCGGCCCGAAGTGAGCTGCTCCACTAGCCAGCCAACTCTCTCCGCCATGCTGCGCATCAGCAAGGTCTCCTGACACTCCGCTGCAACTTGCTTCTGAAGGGACGCCAAGGTTGTGAGGCCCTGGATCGGCACGGCCCCAGCTTGGAGGGCAAGCGCGAGGCCATCCGAGGCGGTCACAAGGTCCAGGGACTCCTCCGTGTGTAGCCACTGCCGCACGGCCTCGGCGCAAGCAGCCGGAACTTCGGCGTAGGCGCCGTTCAGCACGCCGGCAACCGCCTTGAAGAGCTGCCTGGCAGCCGCGCTGTTCTCCGGAGTCACGGGCAAGGGCGTCGATGGCAGCTGCCGCAGCTTCCTTGGAGGCCTCATGAGCGCCTCTTCCGCCTCTTCCGCCTCTTCAGCACCTTGCAGACCTTCGTCCGATTCATCCTCGCCGTACTCCTCCTCATGCTGATCCGCCCAGCTGCGCCAAGTCCGGCCCTGCCTCTCCTCTTCTTCGGCGTGCCAGTGCTCCACGATCTCTTCCGCTGCCTGCTCCTGCGGGTCCTCTGTGACATAGCACCGCCAGTCCTGTGTGACCTCCTGTTCCTCCGTTTCCATGGCCTGCTCAGTCTGCTCCTCCAGGCTGGACTGCTCTACGGAGACCTCCTGCAGGTCGTCCCTGCCTGTTGAGGACGCAGCCGATGCAGTGCTAGCATCCACGGGAGCCGCCGCTCCCGAAGGCATCGGGGGCATCCCCGTCTTCGCAGGCATGGGCGCGGAGGGAGCTGCTTTCCTAAACATCCAGGCGTTGATGACGGGCACATGGCGGGTGCGGGTCTTCTTGAACGTCGCGGCCAAGGCAGCGATCTGCTCTCGCAGCGAGGGCTCTGGAACCAGCTTGCAGTGGTGCGGCACTTTGGGTCCCGGGCAACGATCGGGGCACGCCATTTTGTGTGGAGGAGTCAATTTGTGCGGTCACGTGTCTCTGTCTTACTCAGCTGATGGCTTGAGAGGAAGAAGTCCGCGGTACCGCAATGGCCGAAATGAAAGGGTTGCTGCATGCAACGCGGAATGCAGAAAACATCAGGAAACACCATGACCACCATGAAACGCCTGACGCTGGGGCCTATGTGGCCGAGACGCGCTCTCCACAACAAATCACTGATTCCCGAGTTTTGGCGTCAAGTCAATTTTCTCTATGGAATGTTGCGTAAACATGTTGCAGCGTGTTGCAACTGCTAGGCCCCTGGCACAAGCCTTCTCCACAGTAGCCTCAGGAACGCAGCACCAATTCTCAAACATGCGAGTCCGCGCTGAGGCAAGGATCTTTCCCTATGACAGTGAATGACGGGAGGTTTCTTCAAGCTTCAAAGAAGTCGGAGCAGTTTTTGCTTGCTGAATCATGGCAATTTCTATGGATTGATGGCGTGCTGCGGCCCCCATGGGCGTGAAGCGGCTGGTTATGCGTTCGGCTCCGAGATGAAACAGCTGCACGCAGAGCATTTGCCTATGAGAAAAGCGTATGCACTCCCGTAGCTATCTGAGTAGATTCATGCCGCATATGAGTATTTCCCCAAGTAGGGGTACCCTGAATATACCTCCAAAATAGTAGAATCCTTGTTAAAGGAACCCCCAAAAGGGTAAACCCTATTTTCGGAAACCCCACAATATGTGTGTGATTTCGACACTGCATATGCAGAGCTGCGCTCATTTTTCCTCGACGCCTTCAGCTTGCAGTGCTGACACATCATCATGAAACCAACATTTGCCTAACCACCCTGCTTCTTTTCTTACACTGCTTTACAGCGTCAACTGGCCGAACGATCCTCACTAGCAGGGATCCCGACCGTTGATCAGGGCTTTCCTCAGCATCAGGGCCATGTTCCTATAGCCTTCGTCGTTCGGGTGGATGGCGTCATCGTGCGCCAAACACACCGCCGAACCCGTCTGCTCGGGCGCCTGCTCACGAGGTCTCCGCCGCGGAGGCTTCCGCGCTTCCCATTCGCAGCAGTTCACGCGGACGTCGGTGCAGGTGTTGTGCTTCAAAAAGCAGGTCTGGAGGTCGATCACTCGGACCTTTGAGTGCTGGGCGGCGATTTCACGGAGTTTCGCAGGAAGCTGCCTGAGAGTCCGGGTGCCAGGGGCCGGTCCGGTGCAGGAGAAGAACAAACTGGCTAAAAATGATTCTAGACAGTAGGTGAAGCGCGGATAACGCGACTTCAACAGCTAAAAAAGATATACGATTCTGTTATATATATATATATATAAACTACGAAGCACCTGTGGCTGCCGGCTTTACCCAATTGCTGCGCTAGTCGGGATGCGTGCAAGGGCATCTATGCATGCATGTGCCTGCACACGTTACGCACATGTTGGCGCACGCGTCAAAGAATGCATTTACTCATGCCCTGAAAGTATGTAAGTACCAGGTTGGTGCGCCCTTTCCCTTGCACGCGTGCGTGCGCACAGCGTTTGTGGGTGTGGACAACCTGATGGTCCTACTTGAAAGTATGCGGCACATGCCCTACCGCGTGGCCGTGCGGACATCTTCAGTAAGGTGTCCACTGCAGACTGGATGCCCAAAGACGAGCACAAGCAAGGCATGCAGTGCAGGGGTCAACACAAAAGTATTGCGCGTCTTTGCGTGCGCAGGTGCGCGTGCAACCGAATCTTGAGCACTTGCTCCAACTTGCTCCAATCGAAGACAACCTCAACCCTCCATCCACCCATTCTGCCAGGTCACTCATTGTAAACCGTCTGCTGCATCCCCCCTGCCCTCCCTGGTGGGTCGAACTCGGGGCCGTAGATGTTGTCATCGTACATGGGCGGCGGGATGAGCATGTAAACCGTCGCATCCACTTTCAGGAAGGAGGCGATCAGCTTCGAGTAAGCATCCTCAAGGGTCACAAGGATGACTTGGGTGGGTGCTGATGTTTGCTGGTGCCCTAAACCCTAAACCCTGAACCCTAAACCCTAAACCCGACACCCTAAACCCTAAACCCTAAACCCTAAACCCTAAACCCTAAACCCTAAACCCTAAACCCTAAACCCTAAACCCTACCCTAAACCCTAAACCCTAAACCCGGAGTTTTCCCCCCCCCCCCCCCCCCCCCCATGGCCACCTCGAACTCAGTCTGGAACTTCAGCAGCCGACTCTCTTTGACATCGTTGGCGCCGAACATCAGGAGGACCCGGTCAGGTCTGTAGGCCAGGGCCTTTACTCCCCTTAGAACCTTCATAAAAACAAATGTTTGATATCCTCCTAGGCTTTAAATAAACAAAAAAAAGAATTCCCAAGGGGGGATATAGGGGCATCGTGCCAGGTGCTGTTGTACCAGGCGCTGTGGTAGCTCTTGCTACCAGCAACCACGGTCGTCTCGCCCTTCCCAAAGTTCCTTACCTCAGCTGCAGGCTTGCGACCCTACGGGAGATCTTCGGGCAACAAGAGTTGTCACAAGACCCAGAAAGTTTGGGCAAAACGCTCTGCAGCTAAACTGTTCATTCCTATGTCTCTTTTCGGGAACGACCTCGCCTCGTAGGCGTCCTCATCCAGCAAGCGCTGCAGGTGGTACGGATAGCCTGACACTGCAGGGTCGTCGCCACGGCCCGAGTCAAAGGGGTAGCCGGCGGTCAGGCTGTCCCCCACGCAAGCGATCTTTGTCTTTGGGATCTTCTGCCGCGCGGCCCAACACAGTGGCCAAGCACACAGCAGCAGGAAACGCATGGCTGGAGTTTGCAAAAAAGAAAATGGTGCCTTGAACCAGTAGGCCCATGAAGCCCAAATAGTCAACTTGGTGAGAAAAAGACTTCGATGCATCTGTACATGCCCAAGAATGTCTTCGCAGTCCGATTCTATGGAAACACAGCTATGCAATGTTTTTGCCATCAAGGGCACTTCCCTAACTTGGATGCCCAAAAACCCTTAGATGCACCATGCTCTGGGACGCCGGGCTCGGCAAGTTGTTCCAACAGAGTGGCAGCAACTTGCGCCTTTCGATGAAACAGTACATGCCAAGCACAACCGATCTTCGCTGGGTGTTCTCTCAGGGTGGCTTCAGCTTCCAACTCACCATGCACGTGAGTCAAAAAGTAAACATCTACACCCTACTTAGACCTTCATCGGGTCACTAGAGTCTATCGACAGGTCAGCGCAGCTCAAGGTACAACAGGCTGGTCGGGATCGATGAACTCGCAGGTTTCATTCATGTTTCAAGGATCCGGAAGTTCACTTGGAGGTTCATGGTACCTTCTAAACCAAGCGAACTGTACTGATAACCTACTTACAAGCCTCTTAAGTGCCGTGAACCTCCAAGCAGGTTTTGGTGTCAATGCCATGCACCTGGGCCTTGCCAAGTTCCGGAACACTTTTTTTGGATGAGGACATTGGGGGTACCTTATTATTGGGGTCCTTATTACCAGGGGATCCTACTATGAGGGGGGTCTATTTTAGGGGTCCCCTATTTTCGTAAACCCCCAGTACTTCAACAAGGGCGAGAAGGGACACGTGCCGGCTCCCCGAAAACCATCGCCCGCACTCAAATTCTAACATCAGGTTTGCATGGAACGCGTTCCATTCTCACCCCTGAACCCTAAACCCGAAACAATAAACTTTGCCTTAGACCCTAAACCCGCTAAAAAAAAACGCCCCCCATCTCAGGGCCGGGCCAGATATTCGAATCGGCGCGCCAAGTCCTGACGTTCACAGCTATGCCCGGGAAACTGGCAAGGGTTTAGCTCCTGGTACTCTTGTCTCACTGCCTTGCCTTGCACCTTTGTGCCCCCAAAAAAGTGCCAAGAGAACTCTCAGCGAGGAGACCCTTCCCCAAAGCCGACTCCACTGGCCACCGAAACCCTAAACCCTCCAACCCTAAGCCCAAAACCCTAAACCCTAAAACCCTAAGCAGCCCTAAGCCCTCAATCCCGGAGACCCAAAGGGCCCTGATGTGGATGCCAGGGTTGGGGGCGACTTGAAGAAGCAGGGAGGGATCAGCTGCCCCCCAGGGGGGAAGGGGCCCTCGTGCTCCAGAGGGCCCGAGTTTGGGGCGGGTGCATGGGCTGCTGTAAGGCCGAAACCCATACCCTAAACCCTCAACCCTCAACCCTAGACCCTAGACCCTATAGACCTTTGTCCCTAGACCCTAGACCTCAGACCCTAGAGCCTAAACCCTAAAAACCCCAATAAAGCCCAAAACCCCAAACCCCAAACCCTAAACCCATCTGAAATCCCAAAGCCCGACGCCCCAGCGAGAGGAGCCTCGGCCAGGTCTCGCGCCTGCGCTTCGAGACGCGCTGGGCGCACCTCCTCCTCAGGGCGCTTTCATCGCTTTTCTGGGGCACCGGCCCCCGAAACCCTAAACCGGTTTAGGGTTTAGGGTGTTTGGGGTTTATAGGGTTTAGGGTGTTTCGGGTTCATAGGGTTGAGGGCTTAAGGTTTAGGGTTTAGTGGTGGGATCCAGGGCGTGGAAGGGCTCGGCGACTGACTGAGAGACTCCAGTTACGCATCCCTTAGTCTATACTCCCCTTAGAACCGTATTGAATTTTTTTAATTCCTGTAAAGGGGCTATGGTACTTGTGGGGCGACACAACTTATAATGTTGGGGGCTCTTGGCCGCTCATCTAATGCACTTAGTCAGTTATACCGCTGTGTGCTCACTCTTTTCCTTACCTTTTCACCATATTCTTCTCTTCACTCTGTTCATGCTTATGACGATATTACCAGTGAAGGAGACAAAGGATGCTACTTCTGCCATTAACTTACCGCGTGAGAAAGTGTGATCATGAAGGTCTGCGTGCTCGCCCTCACTGCAGTCGGACATGCTGATTCGGCTGCGCAGACAGCAAGCACCACAAAGGCACCCAGCGCCCCCGTTTTGCTTCCTGCAGTTGCTCCTGATCTGCGCGTGGCTTGCCAGCATCAGTAGAGGTACGTTGCCTTCACAAACGCACCAGCTTCTGCGCGGGCACCCCGCGGAGAAACGACTCGGGGGGCGGAGGGGGGCAAAGGCAGCTGATGTGCAGGGTTCTCTCGCTTTCAACTTTCGCTATGTCTGGACTGTCTAGACATCAGCGCTAGCCAGTGGTGTAGGGAGTGAATTGGCAAAAGAGGTATGGAAGAACTCACGATGCCCAGAAAGCTCAGCTAGCATTGGCTGAGATCAGAGCACAAACTGGCATTGCTGGCCCCCTCTCTTGCTAAGAGCATGGCTGAGAATCGACAAAGTGCATTCGGACATCATAGGACTTCGTGGGGAGGGGGCTCGCATGTGAAACCGCGGCCGGCAAAAAGCGTCACAAACCCGTCAAGCTGGAAAACCCCGAGGAATATGCCTCATAAGCCGAGAACGTGATCGCCTGGCCGATCGAGATTTTCATCAATCGCGGCGCAATGCCTTTGTAGAACGCCAGCGCGCCCTCCTGTTGCAAGATGGATCGAAATGCCTGCAACGTGCTCGTGTACTCCTTGGTGTTGCCATCCTGTGCCTCGATTCGTGACTTGATCACGTCGATGGGATTGTTCAGGAGTGTGCTGCAGCAGCCCGTGATGCCGCCTGCCAGAGCCGACTGCCACATCTGCGGAGGGTCGGTGGTGAGAGCAGACTTGACATGCCCGTACAGCGCAAAGCGAACTCCCACGCCGGAAGCTTGCCGGATGCCTGTGGCGCCAATGCCTGCGTAAAGACCACGGATTCCGTGGTCGCTGGCTACGGTGCGGATGGAACCCACAAGGCTGGAGTAGCGATTCAGACCCGACTTGATGTCGTTCTGGCGCAAGACCTTCAATCTCTCTGTGGGCGTCGTCCACAAGAAGGCCTCCGCGAATCCTGCACCGATCCCCGCCAGGAAGTCCACGGAGGGCTTCGGCACGCAGTACTGCAAAAGGAACTTGAACTGCTCGAAGGCGGTGAACCGGATTGCACCCTTTCCGGCCACTTGCACCAGCACCGCAGGCAAGCCGAAGTAGAAGCCGTGAATTCCCTTGAGCTGGTAAATCTGCTGTGCTCCGGCCACCGGGCCCAGTCCGGTGCGGTTGACCTGGCAGTAGGTCTTCACCGTGTCCAAGGGCATCGTGACGGAAACCTCCGTAGCCCCCGAGCAGAAGCCTGCCAGGAAGCTCACGGCCCAGTGGGCCTTCTTCTTGGGCACGGCAATCGACGCTGGGCTTGCAACCTGTGCGGGCTGCACCGCCGCCACTGCCATCTTCTGGGCGACGCCGACACGGCAAGACGGTGGAGGGTTGGAAGAAATGGTGCCGGACGTCTCCTCAACAACTTCGAGCCGAGACAGGTGTGCGCAAGAGTTAAACACACAGCTCAACGCACCTGCTTGCAGATTCGATCTGAGACACGTATCTGCACTGTCATGGCTCGCGGCAGAAAAACCTGTAAGACCTTCGCCACTGCGGAATGGCAGCAAAAACCAAGCTGCATAGGTTGGGCGCGGTGCCTCCTCCATCTCTTCAAGGCTCCCAACACAAACACCCATGAAGTTATGGCCGGAACCGCCATGTGCCCACAAACCAAAGCTGGACACCTATGGCTTTCAATGGCTTTCATCCAGAAGCTTGGGGTCCCGCTTTGCGATTGCGCCAAGCCTTAGACAGACCGATTTGCTGGACGGTGGCGGCGTTCCGACCTAAACTATGAAGTGGTGAAGACCAGATACACCCGACGAAGCAAAATGGCGATTTCCATGGATGGAGACATGAAGCCTATGCGATGTCCTCCTCGGCATAGAGCCTGGAAACGATACCGAGCGTGACAAGATGTGACAAGAGTAGTCCATGTTCTGGCAGTCGCTCCAGCGCTTTTCATAAACCCCACATCAGACAGCTGATGCACTGCCGATCTCAGGGGACACCGGAACGAAGTTTGGTGCTGCTTGGCGCCAACCATGCTAAACGGAATGCCGAACATAACAATCCGAGATGCAGTCTCCGGGTGTTATGGGTCTTCATAATGTTGGTAGACCCTCCAGTAAAATCAAGGGCATCGGGCAGCGCCAGCTCCACACGTGCTAAGGACGCTGTTACATCAAGAGCAAGTCTGTTGTAGTCCCACTCCACTGACATGATGCAAACATTGTGGCCTAAATCCCTTTTCTTCATGGAACTGAAACATCTCTTGACATGTATTTAGCCTCAAGGACAGGGCATTTTAGGGCGTGTATTTGGAGGGCATAGCAGATGTCTGAAACTTGGTTTGCATGACTGTACCCTAAACCCTAAACCCTAAACCCTAAACCCTAAACCCTAAACCCTAAACCCTAAACCCAAAAGGGGGGGAACCCTTAACAGCCACCTTCTGGCAGCTGCTAGAGCCTGTGGGGTTGCGCTGAAAGTTCTTGCGATTTGGGCATGTGCTTGGGAGCGGCTACTATCCTAGAATAAACCTCGGCGCCCTTGACCCTCATAAACCTCAAACCCTAAAACGCTCTACAGGAGCCTTGTATTCCTCATCCTGACCCATCCCTAACCGACCCGAACTCATGCATTCCCGTGAAACACTTCTCTCATCCCGAAGGACGTCAGTCCCACCCGGTACCCGCTGATAGGTGGCCGAGGGGCGCTGGCACGGGGCTCTGGCCTCGCTGATGACGAATTCGGAACGCAGATTAGGGTTTAGGGTTTAGGGTTTAGGGTTTAGGGTTTAGGGTTTAAGGTCTAGGGTTTTAGGGCCAGTTTAAGGCTTCTTCGGGTTTAGGGCGTTTAGGGTTTAGGGTTTGGGG